CAGTGGGCTGCCGGCTGTGAGTTACAGGGTGATGTGGCTGCTGGCTTTGTCCCAGCTTTCTCACGGGAGTGGAAAAATCATCAGTGGGCTTAGCTGCTGCTGCTGCTCTTTAAAGAAAGAAATGTGTGTGGCCAGTTAGGCTAAACCACTCATTCCACCTTCATTAGAAAACTGATCTGAGCAGTGAGACCCCTCCTGACTATACAATTAAAAGCAGTTAAAGTGTAGCAATGCAGTAATTAGAATAGAGCTTATCACGGTACATGAGCTTGGTAAATGGATAATAGCTTAACATTTTAGAAAAGTGACTTAATTCGAGGTTTTGAATGTTGAGAGAATTCCCAGTGATCCTAAACACATCTCTTACAAATGCTTTAGGAACACATAGAGAGAAATAACCAGTAACCAGATGCTATGAATTATTTAGTTCTTTAGCAGTGACAGATCTGATCATAAAAATCTAAAACTGCAATAATATCCAGTCTTATCTTCTTCAGGATACATCATGACCAAGGTTCCTCCAAGACCGAACTGCACAGACTGCAGGTGACCTCACTTGAGCTTTTTGGAGGGGTGTCCAGTCAGCTCCTGCTGCAGTCTCTCCTTCCTCCACTCGCAAAGCTCCACAAAGGAGCAGTACCTGCACTTCCATGCCTCTTCGATGTCCACACCCCTGGCCTCCCTCTGACCTGTCCAATACGAGAGGTGTTGCTGAAGCTCCGCCCTCAACTGCGTCTCGTCAAATGGCACCTCTCGGGTGGCGATGGGCGTGCCGGAGCCCTGGTGACAGTACTCCAGCCTCAGGACATCAATGGTGGGCAGCTCGCAGTAAGTCAGGTTCATCAGCAGCAGGTCCAGAAGGTCACCAAACGTCCCCACCTGGAGTCCCAACTTCTGAGCATGCTCCATCACCCCCGACCCCAGAAGCTGCCCTGGCTGCAGTTGGAGGGATCGTATGAAATCTTCTCTCTCCAGCGTTCCACGCACCAGACCGTCATACAGGAGCTTGTACAGGCCAACCTATACCAAAGGACACAGCTTTCTCTTAACACGTTAGGAACAGCATTTACTAACGCATTCTTAACATAATTAATCAGAAATTAGTGCCACTCCCTACAACATCCCACATTTCAGAAGGTACCCGGCAGGAATTTCACTTCCTTTGGGATAGCAATGAGAGGTTAATTTAGGATCAGTATCCCTTCCACACCTTTTTTCCTAAGACATCCTGCAAGGCTATGGATGCATTTTCTTCTGATTCTGTAGCTCCAGTTTTCCATTTTTGACTGCAGACCTCAAAGCCTGGAAACCGTACATGCACAAAATATTTCTAAAATGCCAGAATTACAGTCACATGATAGACAAGGTTTTGGAGGGGAAAAAACCTACTTTGTTGCCTGAACCACAAAAGAACTGGTTATCTAGAAATGTGATCATTTGTGTTGCTTGCACGAGTGAGTTTATGAACCTGCAGGCGGTGGCTTCTGTCCTGCGCCCGTCCAGGCAGGGAGTTGTGGCCCCGGGTCTTCAGCTCGTTCAGCACTAGCTCCCCCTTGTGGCTATAGTGGAGCTCATCAATCACCCCCATCACAAAAATCCCCTCCAGCACCCCAAATACAGGCATCTCCCGCACACAGCTCCCTGAGGCATGGAGAGAAATGACAGGACACAGTGGTCACCTTGACACAGTAAACAGGAAAGTCTGACAATAAATGTTTTAGACACTAAACTTTCCCTGAACAGGGTCTGAAAACCTCTGTAGCAGACAGGACAGTATTATACTCACGCCATTACAAGTTCCCACTGTCTTTTCAAGGTCTGATCATGAGTTTACAAGGCGCACCACAGCCTCCTCTGAGACATACCAGCCTGCAGGACCGGTATCATTCCAAGCACATTGAGAAACTTGAGAGCCCAGCGGTCCTCTCTGCTCTGTGCACTGACTGGCACCACATCATGGACCTCCAGCTCTGCAGAGAGAAAGCAAACAGACCTTCATTCGCTCCTTGGCAGGCTCATCACCCTCCCCCCCCCAACAAAAGGGCCCCAATGTTACCCCGCCCAACCCATAATGCAGAAAATGAGCAAGGGAGACCCCACTTTCCAGAAACCTTAACCATCACACGAGTTCACAAAAAAAAAAAACACATTAATCACTGCTCTGGGCAACACCCTCAAAGCAAAGGAATACATAAGGGGAAACCTGACTCTGCATTTTATGTAGCTGGATAATGGTTTTCATTCCACTTGAGCTTTTAATCAGCTGATCGTCTGCCTGTGTAACAGGGCTCATTCATGGGCTAGTTATAGAAGTGATGTCTCTCCGAGCCCACGAGCAACCAGGATCAAATTCCACCAATTGCAGGGAGACCTGCACTCATCACGCCTAACGCGACCAATTACGTTAATCCTCTCCCCGCTTTTGCAAAGATTTAGATAAGTAAAGACCCTTAGGGACGGCTGTTGAGGAGTCCACTCCAGCCAGATAAAAGCAGGGTGTTTCTTCTGAGGCTGACAATCGTCATTTAGCAGCTCCAGTTATACTACAGCATATTAAAACATCGCAACAGAAGAAAGAAGAAAGTGGCTCCGTTTCACTGTGTCGCACATATTTTCCAAGCATCACCATCCACTGATCGAGGATTATGGCGAGTGAATAAGGTCTTGCTGTACTGGCAACCAAGACACATCGCTGCCATTGGCGCCAGGGTCTTCTCACACGGCTTGGTTTTTTCTTTTTTACCTCTGGCCAGGTGAATGCTGGCACCAGCTCGCACCTCCTGGCTCTCGTCCCGTCTCTTCAGGACGTCGGGCAGCTCGAAGCCGTGAGCCACCTGCAGCTCGCACCACGCCTGCCCGCAGATGTCCGTCACACACAGGTAGCGCAGCTCGAACCTGTCTAGTGGGCTGCCATCAACAAGCTCCCTCTTCCTCTTCGGCGCAGCGTCCAGTCCGTACCCCACACCGCCTCCTTTGGCCTCCCTGAAGCGGTGACACAACACGGGGGAGAATAACGGAGAACGTGACCAACAGCCTCATTTCTAGCGCAGTGGATCCCGAAGCTGGTCC